ATTTTTTCTTTCAAAGTTAGTCCCACAAGGCTTTGAAATGCTAATCATCACTGAAAACTAAAATGCAAATTTAACGCGAATTTCTTCTTGTTCAACATGTTGAAGGCATACGAGCTTAAATCTCTTTCAATGAACACGAATTTATGTAAATTTTACTACATAACAGTTTGTTGATTAATTAAATTTGCATTATCTTTTGTCTGTACGTCTCACTTCGAATTCCAATCGGCGGAAAAATTTGATTTCGAGCAACCAGTTTTAACACACGATTTCTTGGCCATTTTTGGTCTTATTAATATAAGAACGATATAATCGAAAACCTAATAGGCTATTCTTTATTGCCATATACAAATTATGTGGTTTACTTTAGTATTTTATAAACAGCAGTCTGTCAAATTTGGATTCGAATTATTTTGATACACACTGTAGTTAGGCGTGTCGCAGCACACGTCACGGCCTAAATTTATTATAAATTCAGTATTGATAAACACCCATTTAGCATACACCTAAACGGGTATTACCCATATGTTCTCAATTGAGAATATTCGCTATTACCCGTGCCAGACTACCGCCTGCGCTACCTGACGCTGAGGCTTTCGCATATCATTATATATAAACCAATCACAATCGTGTTTCTATCACACGTTCTTCTCGAGCTTTGAGCTGCCATATTTGAAAACATTTCTAGCAGATTTTCTAGTCTATTTGCGATTCCGTGCAATAAAATGGAGATAGGAAAGAGGATTGGAATAAGCGACAGCCATAGAGATATTTTGGAAAGGTTTTACGGCCGTGGAATTGTCGGTGTTGGTCTAAATTATCGCGAAATGATCGAAAGCGTTGTAGCAGAAACTGGCTTTAATATATAAACAACGACTCAAGTTATAAAGTTAAATATAGATATCACAGTGATGTTAATGTTGACTATTTACTATTAAAAACACTAGATGACATACAATGAATGTCCCTACCTGGCCTCCCCGGATGTATTGAATAGTACAGATCAATCGAACTATACACATGAGATTAAAGGACATAACCCCGCTAACTGCATTTCTATAGACCTTTCGACCAATAAACCTAAGGGGTCCGGGACAGTATATGTCCCCTCGTTTCTACTATCAAATGTGATGTCACTGTCTCCAAAAATAGACGAAGTACGTGAAGTAATACGCTGTGGTAATTATGAATTTGTCAGTCTGGTAGAGACTTGGCTACAGAGTCACATTCACGATAATATTATCAATATACAAGGATATAACCTAATTCGTAGAGACAGGGTCGAAGGCACCCATGGTGGTGTTTGTGTTTATATTAAAGATTCCATAGCTTTTACAGTGCTTGATGAACTCTATAACAGCTCATTTGAAATACTGTGGATCAGCATCCGACCTAATAGACTACCCAGAGGAATTACTAACCTGATAATTGGCACAGTATACCACCCTCCCAGCGCAGACAATTCAGACATGTTGGACTATCTTTCAAATTGTTTGTCGCGTGTAGAGTCGCGTTTTCCCAACTGTGGCCTTATTATCCTTGGCGACTTTAATAAGTTAAACGTGTCGAGACTAAGATCGTGTTATAATCTGAAACAACTCGTAAACTTCCCCACACGTGGGAATAATACGCTCGATATAGTCCTAACAAACCTTAGCACTTACTACGACAAACCTACCAAATGTGCCCTGTTCGGGTTATCCGATCACGTGACCATTGAGATTAGACCAATTAAACGATCAAAAGTTCAAGGAACATCAACAGCATCAGTAAAGGTGAGAGACTTGAGACCTAGTTCCCGCCTTGCTGTAAGGAAATATATAGAGATGGTAGACATTCCCACCTTGCTTAACACAGGCCACTCTTGTGAAGAAAAAACATCTTTATTCCAAACAATAATTAATAATGGGTTGGATTCAATTATTCCGATACGTAATAAAACTGTTAGATTAAATGAACCTCCATGGATGAACACAACTTTGAAAGGTCTTATAAGCAAACGACAAAAAGCCCTTAATCAGAAAAGAACTACAGAATTTAAAAGGCTGAGGAATCAAATCAACCGCCAAAGAAAAAAATGTCGGGCAAAATATTACGAAAATAGCGTTCACCATTTAAAACAATGTAAACCATCAGCATGGTGGAAAGAGGTTAAAAAGCTTAGTGGAATGAATGTAATCGGGGGAACCTCAGATCAAATTGTGAAAGCTCTGAGACCAGGAGATGACCCTTCTAGCTCTGATAAAAGAGATTTAGCCAACGAGATTAATAATGCCTTTTTGGCTCCTATGGCTAGATATGTGCCGTTATCCTCAGTACCTCGTCAACATCTCATCCAACCTGCACAAAGTGATACAGTAATTACTGTAACATCGAATGCTGTTTTCGAAAATCTTCTCAAACTTAATCCCAAAAAAGCTCATGGTCCGGATGGCATACCGTCGTGGCTCCTAAAAGAAAACGCAGATCTATTAGCTGGTCCGATAGCGGCCATCTTGAACTGTTCATATCGGGAATGTACCCTACCGCCAGTTTGGAAGAAGGCGGACGTAGTTCCAATACCGAAAGAAAAGCCCATCCAGAATATCAATCGTCAGTTACGCCCTATTTCACTTACACTTATTCTATCGAAACTCGCAGAAGAATTTGTTGTAATGATTTATGTGAAGCCAGCAGTGATGGAATTGATCGATAGTAAACAATTTGGGACGGTGCCGGATAGTTGTACGACATATGCTCTTATAAGCATGCTACACACTTGGAATAAGGATACGGATGGTAACGGTTCAACAACTCGAGTTATGACGTTTGACTTCCGTAAAGCATTTGATTTAATAGACCACAATATTTTATCGGAGAAGTTAACAAAGTATAACTTACCGAGGTCTGTCATGCTTTGGATCTTGGACTTTCTGACTGACCGAGAACAGAGGGTAAAACTCAGCCAAGATTGCCATTCCGAATGGGGCAAGGTCCCAGCCGGCGTCCCCCAAGGCACAAAGCTCGGCCCATGGTTATTTTGTATTATGATTAATGATCTAAGCGTTAAGGATGTTAATGATCTATGGAAATATGTTGACGACTCATCCTTGTCGGAATCAGTTTGTAGAGATGGTCCAAGTAACTTACAAAAGTACGTAGATGAATTTAACCAGAAATCAAAAGCTAACGGTTTTCAGATAAACGAATCAAAATGCAAAGAGTTGTGTATAAGCTTTGCACCAAGCATACGTGAGTTCCAGCCAATTACTATTAATGGAAAAATTGTCGAACGTGTAACATCGGTAAAATTGCTGGGTCTAACCATCTCAAATAACTTGAAGTGGAATAGTCATATTTCACACGTTTGTAAAAAGGTCGCACCTCGTCTATATTTTTTAAGACAACTAAAACGAGCGAAATTACCAGCTAACGACCTAATCCTTTTCTACTCCACCTGTATTCGACCAGTCATCGAGTATGCGTGCCAAGCATTTCACGACTCATTACCCAAATACCTGTCTGATGATCTTGAAAGACTTCAGAAACGAGCTTTTCGAATAATATTCCCAGATCAACACTACAAACAAGCATTGAGGAACACGAACACCCCATCACTGTACGATAGAAGAGAGGAATTAACAACAAAACTTTTTAAGGACGTAGTCAATAATCCTGAGCACAAATTAACGGATTTGTTACCGCCATTAAATAATGACAATAGTCATTTTTTGCGTAAAAATAGGAAATTTAACGTGCCACTTCATAAAACGAACAGATTTAGGAACAGTTTTATCACTTATAACTCTAATAAGTTTTTTGAATAACTTAGAAACTGTTTTTTACCGCGAATATGCTGGTTTTTAACCTAATCTAAATTAGCATTAGTGAGTGTTTTAGTAACAAATTATAAGTCTGCGCATACAGTATATATATGTGAATGTGTATTTTTAAGTATTTAGTCTAATCTTATTCGCTTTCTTAAACAAATACATGTAAAATTAGTTTTAATATCCTTGTAAACCTAACATATTTCAGCAGTGGAATTAGTTATATTCTGGAGCTGTAAGTTTTAGTGTCAAATAAACTATCAAACTATCAAACTAAACTGTGCAATGTGCATTCAAGGCACTATTTTCTATCCACCTACTTAAGCGAGAGTCTACTTCATCTATTGTTATTACATGCCTAGTTGACAATCTCTAGGCCAAAAGAATGAATTTTGTCATGAACTTACTTTAACATGCATGTTTCCCCATTGACAAGTGAAATTGTGTGGCGTTAGACAAGTAACAGAAAAGTAGGGGCACTGGGACTCATTTAATACCTCTCAGTGGGTTTAATAACTAGAGACATTGTTAGATTTTTTGGTTATTAACCCTTAAAGTGTAGAGCTTCCCCATTGACGAGTAAAATTGTTTGGCATTAGACAAGCAAAAAAAGTAGGGTGCAACTGACCTACCTGCCCATCTGTCTAGTTAACCCATTGAGTAGCGATGCACCCCACTTTAGTATTTTACTCTGTCTAACACCAGACGATTTTACTCGTCATGGGACATGTTTTCAAATATGGCAGTTCGAGAAGAACGTGTGATAGAAACACGATTGTGATTGGTTTATATATAATGATATGCGAAAGCCTCAGCTTCAGGTAGCGCAGGCGATAGTCTGGTACGGGTTATACCGAATATTCTCAATTGAGAACATATGGGTAATACCCGTTGAGGTGTATGCTAAACGGGTGTGATAAAGTTCTGATTGGGTCGCTCAGCAGTAACTCTGAGGCAATAGTTACTGCTCTGAGCAGCAACTATTGCTTTCAAAACAAAATGGCTGCCGTAAATCAACTTACAAAGAAATTATCGAAGAAAAAATGGACCATTCTCCAATTAACCAAAATTTTAAACTCAACAAGTCTAGATAAAAATTTTATCACAGCTTGAAAGAGCATCACAAAATTAGTAAAATCCCAAAGTTTCATTTTGAAATGTTGTAAAGTGCGGATAATATAGTGAAGTTGTAAAGTGCGGATAATATTGCGAAGTTTGCAATTTTCAGTCATTTTAGACAAACGGGAAATGGTTACCACTTCTGCGCCTAATACAAAATGACTGAAAATTACAAACTTCGCAAGGCTATATTATCCGCATTTTATAACATTTTGCTACAAAAATGTGGAAAATTTCTAATTTTGTGATGCTCTTTCAAGCTGTGATAAAATTTTTGTTTAGGCTAGTTAAAATCAAAATTTTGGAAAAGTGGTAACCATTATATTACAACATTTCGCAACGAAACTTTGGAATATTACTATTTTTGCGATGTTCTTTCATGTTATGATGGGATTTTGTCTAGACTTGTTGAGATCAAAATTTTGGTTAATTGGGGAATCGTCTATTGAAAAAATTAAAAGCACATGCTATTCCTCTAAAGCAAAAGAACCAATTTCAGCTGCTTCGCAGCTCAGTGAATATACAATCATTACAACATTAACTTGGGACATTTCGCCAAATTTGTAATTCTTGTAATCATTTTCGCAACTTTGAAAAAAAAAACACACAACCAAGCAGTCCCCAGCCCCCCTAATTTTCAATGTTGGTTGGTAAATTTAATGATTGCATTAAATCGTGCGTGAATATACTTATACGTAATGAAAAAACAAAAAAGGAATGGGGGAGGGGGGAGGGGAATTTAATGATAAAAATGGGTACGGCTGTCCCAACAATATTTGTAATGATTCTCAGTGAATATAGGCTTGCAATCGCTTCGCCTTCGGTGACTAATTGTTAACTATATTCCATAAAATACACTTTAAGTATAACAGTTTTGTGGTTGAAAAAGATGTTCTAGCAGTTACTGGAAACTGGTAAATTTTTTTAGGAATGACTTGTTTTCACGAATGAAATATTGTAATTTATCATCATCATCGATCATCAGGGGCCTAAGTTACGCCACTGTATGTATACCTGAATTTTTGACGTTTCCTCTTTAAAATATTTGAGCTAGCATGTACCTTTTGGATCATTAATTAAAGGTAACACACGTTTTGAAAATGTTTTGTTAAGTCAAATATTCTGAACGAAAATACGAAATTACGAACAACAACTCGCGAACGCCATATTGTTTCAGAGCGTGGTGTCCACGCGTCACGCGTGAGCGTGGGATACTATAATATCCCACGGTGGATCTGCCGTGGGATATTACAGTATCCCACGCTGGATGGGGAAATCATGAATTTGAGTGAAATACTGTAAAAAATCACACTATCACGTGGTCAAATGTTGTTTTTTCATTGGACAATTTGAATTTAAGGTATAATATTAGCTAAAATTTCCCTTCAGTTCATTTGTTCTTGTTTTGCCAGCAATCTACTACGCAGATTGAAAAGCGATAATTTTTACAAAAGAACGATAATTGAAAAGCGACAAATTTCACATGTGAAATTATCATAAATAATCTCACATATGAGATTATTGCTTTTTCAGTGCTCGAAATCTCAATAAAGCACCATACTTTATATAATAATTGTATTTATCGCTTACTTAATACCACTTGAGTTAGTGGTTGCCAATTCATTTTGACTTTGAACGACTTTCCCAATTTTCTCCAGTTATAACTGCCTGGTTTTGAAGCTTCAATTCTTCTCCATTGTGTTGCGTTTACTGTGTATTATAACACGATGGAAGCACTTGGCTAGTTTCATATTTCTTGATTGATGGTAACTGTTTTATTGCTCATAGGTACATTATATGGCAATGGGGTGTATTTCGCAAAGAATTCTCTCTATTCCGCCCGATATTGTCCGTCCACAGCCGGTTGTGATTTTAAAATGTACATCGCGAAAGTTTTAGTCGGAGAATCTACAATTGGCAAAGATGGGATGAAGGCGCCACCATCGCGGAATGATCGAAATAACCCTGGTTTGCAGTTTGATTCCCTTGTGGATAAAATTAATGATCCTTCAATCTTTGTTATATTCCAAGACAATCAGCACTATCCTGAGTACCTCGTCTCGTTCAAACAAAGAAAATAATGGTTTGGATTTTCATTTTTTTACCATTATATATTTTGATATTTTCATATCAAACCGCTTCATAGGGATTTTGTGGACAGCCAGCTTAACCATTGGTCATGAGTATGTCCCCCCAAATTTCCCAATTCTAATATCTTATCCTAAACCCTAATATACTTTAGTGGTGTTAAATGAGTTAGAAATAGCTATACCCCAGCTGAAACTATACATATATGGGCATATATTTGCTTCACAGTATCAAGAAATTCAAATTATTGGGGTTATTATACTTCAACAATTTATATCGCTCAAATGGTAAATGGTAGCAGAAAGGAAGCATGTGGGCTATTTTGGGGGAATACTCTCACCTCAAGATTTGTGAATACCGTAAACCTCCGACTATAAGCCCCCTTTCCCCCGAATTTAAGTAACCCCCTCCTTGTATAAGCCCACCACATGTACTAACGCTCACCTCATTCCAAATATAACCTCCCCGAATATAAGCCCACCCGAATATATGCCCCCAATTAATATAAGCCCAGTAATCGCTGCTTAATACACGTTTATTTCCCTGTTTATGACTGACTTGTTTATGTCTGACTTGTTTATTACTAACACAAAAGATCAACCATGTTTAAACCCACCCGTATATAAGTCCCCCCCCTTGTATAAGCCCAACAAATATCGCTTACGAAAGTATATAAGCCCATGGCTTATAGTCGGAGGTTTACGGAATGTCTCAATGTAATAATCAATTAACAATTGAAGTGACTGGACTTTAAAAGCACTAAAATAATGCCATACAAGCCGTAGACTTGCTCCAAGTCTCTCTTTCATTGTCATATAGTAACGATCCACTATAGTGTACATTACATGTCGTAGTACTCAGAGGCGGAGCGAGAGAGAGAGATTTGTCAACTTCGGCAAATCTCGGTTCAAAACTGAAACCGGAAATAACGGAAACTGCAAGACTTGCTTTAATTGTCTTCCTTCATGAGGGAGTTTAATTTGTTTACACCCATTGGTTGAGGTTTGAACCATTTCAGTCCTGGCAGATCTGCCTTACTGGCATTCGCGTGGTTTACGCCGAGATAGAATGGAGCATTGTTGTCCATGTTGTCCTTTGGCAAATCTCGGTTCAAAACTGAAACCGGAAATAACGGAAACTGCAAGACTTGCTTTAATTGTTTTCCTTCAATTTCTTTCTGTATTATTTACTATAATGGAACTCTTGTTGGTTTACACTGTGCTAGATCAATACATATAAACACTGACAGACAACAATTAAAGCAAGTCTTGCATTTTTGGTTCAGTTTTGAACAGAGATTTTCTGAAGTTGACAAGTCTCTCTTTCTCGCTCCGTCCCTCCGTGCTACGTCATGTAATGTACACTATAGTGGATCGATACTATATATGACAATGAAAGAGAGACTTGGCGCAAAAAGCCGTAGAAAAAACATGGTATTGTAGCAGACAACTGAACGACAACGCGTATAGTTGGAACAATTTTTGCACTTTTTAATCTCAAATAATTTTGTGTATCAATATACTTGATAATAAGTTTGAATATTATACTCGACAATAATTTGTATACTGTATAATTATGCTGGATAATAAAGTGCGTGCCACAAATGTAGGACCTTTTAACGTTGTTTTATTATTATTAAGCTTTCTCACGCTATAATTTAAGCTTTTTCACGCTATAATTAAACCTCAACCCATTGGTAAGTGACCTATTAACCGGATTTTGGGCATCGTCACTCCATATAACTAATTGTAGAAGGATTTTGTGAATGGAAATTGTAGCAACCAAAGTGCTACGAATTCGAATTCCCCGTTACGAGATAGACACGACAGATTATATTTTCTTCACTTTATCTAATTAATAATGTTTGTCGGTTTTCTAAATAATAAGTTATATAAAATAATGAATCCTACCTATAAGTCGATTTTAAAACAATAATACTAAATACATAGAGAATAATACATGGGTGCGCGGAAATACCAGATTTATTTCGAGCTAGTGTTGAACATGATATCCCACGAGTGAGCGCAGCGAACGAGTGAGATATCATGTTTAACACGAGATTATTCGTTTGAGTTATGGTGGTGTTAGATATTTCTACACCACCATAACTCAAACGAATAAAATCCAAACAAATTTATTACAAAATTCATACAGGAATGAAAAAATTGTGTATGAATGCAACTTATATGTTAAACAGTGCCAAAAACGGTATAACTTTCAAACAAAATTTGTAAAAATATAGGACGATTATATACAGTAAATAAAAATAATGTTCAACAAACGGTTTTCAGTTCATTTTTCCTGGCTGTCATCTTGACTGCTTTCACTTTCAAGAGGTAACAGTCGTCGTAGTTTCTTAGCTTTTGGACTAGCGCCTATCATTGTGTTCGACGCAGAAGACGAAGCGCTAGATATGTGGATATTAAACGGCCCCCTGTGATGGAATTGCCCTGAAAAAGCGACGAGGATGGATTAATAGCATCTTGCTTCACACTGAACGAAATGGTCTCCTGCGCAGAGAGCGACGATCGTGCGTTACCCACATTCGGCACCGAAGACAAGATCGAAGAAATGTCTTGTTGTTGTTGTTGTCTCAATGAGCTATAATTGTTAACTGACTGCAAATTTTTGTGACCGGTTATTTGTACGAGTTGGGTTGGAGGAACATTGTTGTCTTGTAGTTTTTGAACAAGTGTATTTCGGGCGCTGTGAGTTGTTATTCGCTTGTCTTTTCCAATTCCAGCCAGTTGTGCACAATCTTTAATGAGTGAGTTTAATTTGTTTACACCCATTGGTTGAGGTTTGAACCATTTCAGTCCTGGCAGATCTGCCTTACTGGCATTTGCGTGGTTTACGCCGGGATAGAATGGAGCATTGTTGTCCATATACGACTCCGGTCGTTTAGCTTTGTACAGTTTATACAAGAAGACGGGATTCCGTTCAGGGCCAGCTGAGAGATTTTCGTACATACGCGGTTTGATCTTCTATTCATGGGGTTTTCACCGGTTCGGGTCTTCGTTTGCCTCTCAGTGTTATACTCAAGATACTCTTTACCTTCCGTATCTTTTTTGAGAAGACCATCTCCCCATTTTAAATCACGTTGTTCCTTCCCGCCTCGTAATCCAAAATGTAAACAGTTGTTGTACCAGAGTGTATTTATTAGAGCTTGAGGACTATTACAACCAAAAGCACCGCTGCTATAAAGCATTTCTATCTCTTCTTTGGTCAAAGAAGCGGCTTGAATGGTTTGTTTCCTTTTCCATCGCGCTTTAGTTGCTTTTGTTTCGACCTCAGTGTTTCTCTTGTTCGGGCAAAGCTTTGTCCCGTGACTACAGACTCGCAATATCGATGTTTTTTCAGATAACGTTCGACTGAGGATATAAAACCACGAAGAGTAGTTGGCTCGTATTCTTCTCCGTTTTTTTTCCTTACGGCCAGCAAAAATTTACTTAAATATGTATCGAGTTGAGACGGCGACAGTTCTTCCATTCTCGGCGGTCTATTGACATGGCTTGCAGCTTCACTTGCGATATAAGAATGAATGAAATTGACGTCTAGTTCTGTTTTTCTTTTAGTATTCTGATTTTCCTCTGTTTCATTGAACTCGTCAACGTCCTTTTCATTAATTTCATGGAATCGTGTGCTCATGGTTTTTCAGGTTTTTGTTTTTAAAACTTTGTACGAAACAATTTGTGAAAAATGGCTGTTGAAAATTTTGGATTTTATTATCAATTATAAAGGGCGTTGTGATTGGTTAGTTAAATTTATTTCGCGACTTGTCATTGGCTGGAAAATCGTATCAACACACGTAAAAATATCGTATTTTTACGTGTGTTGCTGCGATATTTTTATCGCGAGTCACATACGACTTTTCCGAGTGCCCAAAATTTCTATATAACACTATACTTTATATAATAAATACGCATACATTATACAAATGTCTTACCTCACAATGAGGGAATCGCTCTAGTTGTCACATAAATAATATATCTCAACAGTCTTCTGTTTATCGTTCTTCAACAAAGTTCTAACATATACAAAACTGAATTGGCCGAAATTCGCCCTTAAATAACGTTTGGTTTTGAGCCTGCATACCGACTGACTCAGTAATCATAAATTATAATTTGGGCTTTACATACCGGCCCTTATCAAGTAGATGTCTTGATACAAATCATTAAACCAAATTATCGACTACATTATTATATTTAAACTTATCCTAATCTATAAATACTATAACAATTATAAATGTTCTACTTACGTATTGAGTCCAAATACTTAACAGTCTCCTTCCAACAAACATAATTTCCTAATGTCCCTTTTGAACTTCGACTTCGATGGGCGCACCAGGACTTGTCGTACTCGACCATTCTTATCAGGATACACCTCTTCGACAATACCAAGAGGCCACTGTTCTCGACACAATCTCTCGTCCAACAATAACACGAGATCTTTGGGTTGTAAATTTCGCTTTACTGTCAGCCATTTCTGTCGTTCCTGGAGTAGAGGTAAATATTCTTTAACCCATCTTTTCCAGAATGCACTCGCGAGCTGTTGAGCTTGTCTCCATCGTTTAGAGAACTTGTCGGCGACTACCCAACTTCCGAAAGGAGGTGGTTGCTCTGATCGCAGGAGAAGTAACTTTTTGGGGTTAACGGTTCAAGGTCATTCGGATGATCTTCTTGACGGGTCAATGGACGGTCGTTCAGAATTCTCTCCGTCTCTGCCATGGACGTCACCAAGGATTCGTCATTCACTCTCTGTCCTTGTAACAAGGCTTTCAATATTCGTCGAATCGAGCGAATAAGCCTCTCCCAAATGCCACCCATGTGGCTGGCAGCATGGGAATTAAAGTGCCACTGAATGTATTGCTTTCGTAAACGATCTGTGATGGTTGACTGGGAAGATTTGGCGCGAAGTTTCTCAAACTCTTCTTCGAGGACGGAATGTGCTGCTGTAAAGTCGGTGCCGTTATCACTATAGACGTCAGACGGTTGTCCACGTCGGCTCACGAATATACTGAAAGCACAAAGAAAGGATTCCGCATCCAGGGAATGGGCGATTTCAATGTGTACTGCCCACATCGTCAGGCAGGTAAACAAACA